AATCTACAAGAAAAGTCACCAAAAAAACACCAAAGGGCTAGAGGGAAATCTACAAGAGAATTTTTCAAAAAAAAAAATGCTGAAATACCAGAGAGGTATCCACAAGAAAAGTCACCAAAAAAATGCTGAAGGGCTAGAGGGAAATCCACAAAAGAATTTTTCAAAAAAAAAAAATGCTGAAATACCAGAAAGGTATTTACAAAAAATTCACCAAATGACCACCAAAGAACCAGAGAAAAATTCACAAAAGAATCCTCCAAAAAAAATGCTCCAAAAAAACACTGAAATACCAGAGAGAAATCTACAAGAAACCAGATACCACCAAAGGACCAGAGGAAAATCCACAAAGAAATCCTCTAAAAAAAAATACTTCAAAAAAAATATTAAAATACCAGAGGAAAATCTACAAGAAAATAGTTGGCGAACTTTCTTGTGAACATTTCTCTGGTTTTACCGAAAGACCAGAGAAAAATCTACAAGAAAGTTCACCAACTAAATGCCAAAAAGACAAAAGGAAAATCCACAAGAAAATTCTCTAAAAAAAAATGTGAAAGACAAGAGGAAAGTCCGCAAGAAAGTTCTCCAAAATGTCAAAGGAAAAGAAGAAAGTTCACAAGAAAGTTCTTCAAAAATATCGAAAACCAAAAAATCTGCAAGTTCTTCAAAACATCAAAAGAAAGGAGGAAAGTCTACAAGAAAGTTCTTCAAAACATCAAAAACCAGAAAATCCACAAGAAAGTTCTCCAACAAATTGTTAAAAGATCTATGAGAAAGTTCACCAACCAATTCCGAAAGATTAGTAAAAAGTCTACAAGCAAAAGATCAGAAAAAGTTCACTTACCAATAAAGCACCAGAAAAAAAATTAGTACCAAAAAAAAAATTTTTTTTTTTAAAAAAAAACTCTAATGAATGGGATTTACTAAATTTAAAAAAGATATTTTATTATTGTTATAGCTTTTGAAGAAATATTAATATTATACAACTAATCAAGTATTGTAAAATAATTTTTTGTGTTTCACACCATGTGTAAAATTGGTTGTGTAACAACAATATTTCTTCCTGTTCTTTTGAACTAAAAGACCATCATTCTATCATTACGAATGAGTTTATAAAAAAAAATTTTAATGTTTATTGAGAATCTAGGTGATCTTCATTTCTGTAGTATTCTAGAAAACTTGTATTTCTATTTTTAGATTTTGTCATTTTTTCAGTTTTTTGCAATTTACAAATCTTTTTATTATATAATTTGGTCCTGTAATTTAGTAAATCTTTTTACCAAATATATGTCTATTAGAAAATCGAAAAAATTCAATTTTTTAAAAAAAGTAAAAAAAGTGCTGTTTTAATAGATAACACCCCATATTAGTATCTTGATCATTATTATCGATAGGCAGTTTTTCTTAGTTCAAGCTTGTTAAAAGTATTGTATGTTCTTCTGGGCTTAATCAAGTGTATACATTCTTGGTTTGAAGTGTCTGGTTGTTCTTGCTTTCAGAAAAGTAAAAGACGTTTGCTTTATAATATATAATTACAAAGTAACAAATATAACTTTTCAGTATACTAATTTTTAGATAGTTTTTTTTAGTTCAAACTTGTTAAAAGTGTTGGGTGTTTTTCTGGGTTCAATAAAGTATAGACATTCTTGATTTGAAGTGTCTGGTTGTTTTTGCTTCTAGAAAAAAGTAAACAACATTTGCTTTTTAATACATGATTACAAAGTAACAACTGTAACTTTTCAGTATACCAATTTATATATATATATATATATATTTTTTTTTTTTTTTAGATCAAAACCCTTCTTTGGCTTTTTAGTTTTTTTTACTTTTTCAACTCTTTGTGACTTTAAATAATAAAGCTTATTGCAATAAAGACTTATAGAGTGAAATTTGGAAACTTTCATTAAATTATTTGAAAGTTTGCATATACAAGATAATGGAACTTATAAGGGACAACATTTGTTGTGATATCTGGTCCTTTGCCTTATATCAACAAACAAATCATATTTTTTATTGATAATACCTTTTCTACCTAGCTTATTGCAGAGTATTATATTGCTCAGTACAGCTGTTAACAAGGTTTTGTTCCAATTAAAATACATAATAAAACTGATAAAAATAGATGTTTAACTAATTTGTATTACAAGTGTAAATTTGGCAGCACATATCAACCAAAAAAAACTGTAGATTTGCAAAGCCAACACAACAAAAGCTTAAAAAAACTAAATTGTAATTGGTAACTTAATCTGTCAACAACAACAGGTTTGATTTGTATTACTAGCCTATGTGATGAATACATTAAGCACCAACTTTCTTGAAATACAATAATTTTTGCTCCTATCAATCATCACTTTTTTGATGAGTATCATGAGGATATTTGTTATTTAGTAGTTAATGGTCAATGTGATTTATTAAAAATAAGATCTCTTGTATCTGCCAAATATTCTGATCAGCTTTTTTTTACACAGAATCTGGTGAATGTTGTAGCACAGCTGTGATATAAACATCATATAAAAGGAAATGATGTATCTTGACTTCTAACACAGCTTTATGAATACAAAAAGATAAATCCTAACTGGTATATCAAGCCTTTAATTGATCCTATTAGCAATTGACTTCATAGGATTTTTTGGATAAATCCAGAGCAATGAAAAAGGTGGATCCAGTTTTGTGATATAATTATCCAAGATAATATGGTACAAACAAATTATTATAACTTTCCTTTATACCTTTTTTCCTAGTTAATAACTATAATAAAACCAGAATTGCTATATAGGCTTTAATGCCTGATAATACAATTAAATCTTTTCAATGGGTTATGCAGCAATTGAAAGAAACAACAGGGATTCTGCCAAGAGTGTTGATGACAGATAAGAATCTTTCAATGAAATATGTAGTTAATAATCTTTCTAACATAAACCATCTTTTTTGTTTATATCACCTGGGTCAGAACATTCTAAAAAACCTTCAAAGCAAACTTGGTGACCAATATACAGAGTTTATTCGAGGCTTCTATCTGATGCATAATAGTCTAAATAAAGATATATTTGAAGCATGCTTTGTAAACCTCTTAAATAAATATCCAACTGCATCTTTCTATTTACAAAAAACTATCATCCATTAAAAAGTTGTGGGCATGTCTTATACGCTTAAAATTTTTACAGATAGAATATAGTTAACTCAGAGAGCTAAGAGTCTTAACAATTTTATTAAAACTGCTGTTAATAGCATATTCACATTAATGCAAGTTATGAAAGCAATTCATCAACATCTTGAAAACGAAAACCTCAATCAGCAATTTATCTCATAGTCTTAAGATCAAATTAACTATAACAATCAAATTATACTGCAACATGTTTTTTCTCAAATAGTTAAACAAATCAATAAATATCTGACATCTAATTTAGCAGCAAAACAGCAAAAACAAATCATTAAATCTACTATATATTGAGTACAAATAATTTTACTTAACGATATTAAATTTAATAACCAAGTAAGTAATAAATAGTTTAATTTTTTTACAATTGCTTAATTTAAATTTAATAAAACTAAGTTCTGATACTTTGAATATAGGATATTGAATGTAATAATGACTTTATTGAGAATATATATGACACTTCACAGTCATACTTATCAGCTCTAATTAGTAAAAATAAATATTCGAAGTTTGGCAAATCACATGTTTAATTTCAACTAAGTTAATTTATTATATTATATTGTTTAAAATAGTTATTATTCATGCACCTGCCTTCTCTTAATTAGTTCTGAGATTGTATATCAGCACTTTTTTAGTGTATTAATTGAATCAAGTTTTGCAAGGTTTTATATCATACTATTACCTATTCAATAGTATAAAGATGAAGTAACAGAATCTGAATATGCAAAAAGCTATTTTTAATATCAAGCTATTATATGAAATTAGATTCTACTACATATCAATTAAGTATCTCAACAAGGATAAATTTACTTCAACTTGATGACCTTTAAGAAAATCAGTTTTATGAACATTTAGAAAAAAATTTATTTTAACAAAACAATAAGTCTCACAAAACAAACAGTTATGCTACAAGGTAATGATGATAGTGATAATAAATTAGATAATTTATCGAAAGACTTTATTAAAAAAAAAACTTGAAAATGAAGAAGAAACACGAGAAAGAGAATTTGGAATTCTTAAGAATCATTATAATAAAGAAGAGATTCTTATTGTACAAGGCAGTAATAAACAATTGATTCCTGTTAAAAATATTTTAGATCCTGCATATAATGTTGGAAAAGGAGCACTATGCAAGAAATGTATCAAAGATGCACAAGATCAAACTAAAAAAAAATCAAACTCAAGAGTTTGCAGATTCTGTTACCAACCTAATCATTACCAAAGCATATACTTGCAAAAAATATCTAATTCAGGAAAAAAATAATATCATATAGACTAATGCACTTTTTGTAATATATTAAAACAAATGAAGGTTTTATATATGTATCAATAGAGAAATAGCATTTAGTTTTTTTTTCTAATACTGTGTTAGAATAGCATTTAATTTTCTTTTCTGGCATTTTAATTTTCAATTTTTTATATTTTAGGGTTAGATTAAGCATTTATATTATATTAATTCTTTTTTTGCTATATTTGAATAGAAAATAATCTCAAGGCTATGATATTGAAATCAATTCTAAAAGTTAGTGTTATATAGTGTTATATAACATATTTCATAGCCAGAGCATGGTGTATTACTTTTGCTATGCTAAAAGCTATTATATAATCTACATATGTACACAAGTAAAACTAGAAACACAGAAATTATACTATATTTTTGATAATATGTACTTGTAAAATTTAATTTTTAAAATAACCCTTTTTTAATAGTTAGAGTTAGGGTAAGTGTGAGCATTGTTCTATTTTTCGTGTTTGGGTTATGGCAGATTTTAGGAAAATTAATTTTGGTTTGATGAATTTTTTTTTTTTTTTTTTTTTTTTTTTTTTTTTAATATTAATGGTGAGACCATGTCTCTAACTTTATTAAAATTTAATTTGA